TTCAGTTCGACTATAAGTTTGTTGAAATTGGAGTTCGGATGGTCCCATTATTAATTTTAGAAGTTTCCAACTTGATTTTGCCTCGAGATTCACACCTGATCAAGATAATTTTTTGATGATATATCAATAATTATACAAAATATTCATATAAATATAGGAGAAATGATATACTGAATATGAAAATATAAGTACAATGAAGTATTTAATTTACATTTATTTGTTAAGAATTTTTACTTAAATTTTAGGAGGATTTGCATACATGCTATTATATACTAATTTGTTTATATATCTAACACCTAAAATTTTAATATTACATATATATCATATATAGTTCACTTTTATATTAAATATGGGTGGCAGGAATGAAATATATAGATGGTGAAAATGAAATATGGATGGTATATTTGATATTAAATTAATATAAGATAATATATATGTAATATTAAAATTTTGGATGTTAGATATGTAAATAAAGTAGTATAAAGTGGTATGTATGTAAATCTGGTTAAATTGTAATATCTTATAGATATGTGTAAATTTATCTTTTTTATTCCTAAAATTTTCATAAAAATTAAATTTAAAGCTTTTTTATTAAAAATTTATAGAAATCAAGATATTAAAATTTTTTCAGAGAATGAAGCTCCGTATGGGATAGATTTTTTATTGTTTATGTAATTTTTTTTACAAAAATTTTTTAACTAAAAAATTATTTTATAAAAATAATAAAAAAACTGTCTTAAATAAAACTTAAATCTTCATTTTTAATTGAATTAATAAAAGCCTATTTATTTTTTTAGATGACTATGAATAATACAGGAATTCTCCCGAAGTTGGCATCAAGAGTCTGAGGAGCTCCTTGGTCATTCGCCGGAGTTCACTCCGCCGCCACGAGAACAGCGATTGGCGCTAACGATACCGTGGAAGTGGGAAGGAGAGCTTCTGGTCCCATCGTATACGTTTCTTCCTAACATAGGAAAGGAGAGATTCGGTGAGGTTTTCTCTTTCAATTACTTTATTTTCGAAGGTTTTTTAGGGTTATGGAAAGGGAAAGATGACGATTCTTTAAATGGAACCTGCTATTTGCTGTATATGTTGCTGGATTCCTTGTTTTGTTTCAATTTGTTGGTTACCCATTTCTTACTTCATAGTAATAAAGAGATGCAAGGTAAGGGCTTTTGGTTTTTTCCCGGGTTAGTTAATGAATACATGAAGTAGGAGAAGCTGGGTGATGGAAAAGAAGAAATTATAGCGTGTAATGATGCTGGAGGGGAAAACCTTGGTCACATGGGCTTATTGCTTTGCGTTAGACTGCTAAGGCTGTAAGCTTCATTTCTCTGTGTTGTTGCTGTAGTTGAATTTAGCTGAAATGCTGTGATATAGAATGTTTAGTTTGTAAGTTGTTGTTGAAGCTATTACTGTTATTTAGAAAATTATGGTATCGAGATATTGCTTAGAATTTGAAATTGATGATTGCGAGAAATTGAGCGTTTAAAGGATTGATATCAACTTTCTAGCTTTTTTTTTAATCTCTCCCACACACAAGTAGTTAAGTAAAATATAGAGAGTCTAATTATTTGCATGGTATATCTTGAAGGAGAAAAATCATGGGGCCTAATATAATACTTAATCTTACTAGATTTTTTTTTGAAAATTATGAAAACAGGGCTCCACCTTCAAGAAATTGCTGGGACTTCAATATAAGATGTCTTATAAGAAGTCAGATAAGTTAGCACCAAGCTCCATGATAGGTACATGCTATGTGACATGCTTGGGGTTGTTGCATGAGTTTTTTGGATTGTAGGGCATTACTTGCAGGACTTGATGTGGCATAGGTTTGGGTGTTGCACAAGCAAAGGTTAGGTGGATTTCATGCTTCTTAGTCGAGGGTTATGATGCAAGTCTTGATGTATCGATAATAGCTCTCAGGAATATGCCGACCGATAAGTTGAATATACCAAGTTGTAGATATTTGTGCCATTAGTTTATTAGTGCTGACACAAATGAAGGTTTTACAATCATATTGGAGGGATCAATTTTTAGAAGATCTATAATTTCCAATTTGTACTCATCATAAAGTGATCGCAATGATTTTCCATTTACATGGACATGCTATTGTAGGCTTTAAAAGATGCTTGCAACATTGTAATATAGTATTGGTCGTTGCTGACTAATACACTCTATAGACTCACAAGATCAATAGAAGATAGATTGAAATCTCTCAAATGAGAAAGCTCCTAAGGCTAATTAAATCTTGGGTGTATTCGAGAATAATCTCAATTAATGAGCAATGTTTGTGTACAAAAATCTTTAAGTGGTCTAAGTTTGGTCATGTTATAATTAAAAAAAGATACTATGTGGAATCTATGAAAATCAAGTTATAAGTATCTTGAGGAAAAGAGGATAGGATCTTATAGGAATTTGGGCAATAGGTTCAGAAGATATTGGAACAAGTAATAAAATGAAACTTATAACCCCACGACCACTAGAGGGATATGTGCAAATTGGGCTCACAATGCTTTATGGTGGCACTTGTCTTGACACATGAGTTAAGGGGAAAAGGAAGACACATCTAATCAAGATCTCATTGCTTTGTCATTCTAGATTGTTATTGTTCATTAACTTCTAATCCACTTAGTCAAAAAGGTAATTAACTTAATCTAATTATATGATCATTGGTAGTAACTATGAGTTTCCTCATCCAAAATTATATTGTGAACTTAGGGGAAAGGAGATATGGTGGCTTTAATTTACAATTGAGATAATGGATTTGATCAAGTTCCTTTGATTTCATCATCTGAGGTTGTTGGAGCGCTGGTATACTTAGTTAAGCGTTGACTGGAGGATCCTTATTAACACTATGCGTTACCTCATCTAAGGGTCCCTCGTAGAATTGGGTCTAGCAAATTTTAATCTCTAAGACTAACACAAGTTCTAAACTCTACGATTGACATTGGTCTTAGACACCATGATCAATTGGATTTGTAAGAATTTTCGCTTCCATTTGGTGATAAAAATGCTTACAACTGGGGCTTATAGCCTTCATTGAGGGATAAAGAAATCGATGACTGGCCTTACATATTACATGGGGAAGGAATGATGTAAAGTATGATGATGCAAGGAGAACTAGCCTAGATCTAGCATGCATATGGGGGACATGAAATGTCATGATTTTTTTGCTTTGTTTCTTAGTGTGAACCCTAGACTATATATAGAACTTACAACCATGACATGATGTAGAGCAAAAAAGTTTGTTCACTAATGAAAATATGATGTTTAGATTTTTCTTGGCTTTGGCCAAAGTTGATGTAGTCAATAAGACGAGTAGCGTCTGATTCGTTAAGTCTATGTAATTTGCTAGTAAGCACTAAGTCAAGTCGTGAATGGGATGCAATGAGTCACAAATCAAATGCATTGTATGAACTAAACTCGACAAAGAAACAAACTAAAATCTATAAGGAGTATGTGATACTATGATGCCAGATGCCTCTTTTTTTTTTACGCTAATTTAGGATTGTATGGCTAGCATGATGGTTTGATCATCAAAGTTAACCTAGTCACTTGGAAAGTAAGCATTCCGGCTCAAATACTCCTCAATCGGCCTTGTGCTGGGTATTCTCTGACCATTAAAGGGCCACACGATCATCTCAAGTTCGTATCTTCATTGGGATCTTATGTGCTAAGATCAACTAAGCTAGGATGAAATTTACTCATTTGCATCATATGTGTATGCTTGTTTGATTGAATTAAGATGTGTCATATGATTGTGTATGCTAAAAATGAGGTCAAATGTGTGGATAAAGAAAGACTCAATCTTAGTTGTGTAAGCTGGAAAATTGTATTACCCCAGCCTGGCCTTCAGGTTTGAGTAAGAAGGGTGCCAATTATCTTATGTCCTTCCACCTTTAGCATGCTGAGCTATATATTTAGGCTCAACCTTTGAATCTCTTAATTGGGGGAATCACCAATTCAATCTCCTGTATTTTGTGATAAACTTTATGTTTGGGTTTGGCCTTTGAATCTCATAATTGGCAGGAAACCAATTTGGATTTACGCATTGTTCAATTGAATTGATCTTGGGCATGGTATTTAACGTGCTTAAATTGAGAGAGGTGAGGGGACAATGCTTAGGTTTGATCTTTGTAATTGATGAACTTGGAGTGGATGCCGACTTAAACGTTGCGGTGTGTTGAATCATTTCAAAACACTCGAGATCTATCTTTAAACTTGTTGATCTTTATGTTTGTTCTCAACCTCGACATATTGACCTTGAGAGAATATAGGTCTTTATGTTCAGCCTTATGGGCTTCTTGAAACTTGAAGATGTGTAGCTTGGCCTTAGCGGTATGTTGAATCAATTTGATAACTTTACCCCTAGGCGTGTTATCTAAATCAGAGATTAGGATCAAGTTGACTCGAAGACTATTTGTGAGACCTCGTTCCCTTACTGTTCCTCTCTGACTTGGATTTTCCTCCCAGGATCGTCCGGGACGATAGTGAGATCGTCCAGGCCGATCTGTTGTAATATCAAAAAAAATCTGCTCCAGGATCGTCCAGGACGATCTGGATCGTCCAGGATGATCTGGATCGTCCTGGGACGATCAGTGGAAATTCTGCTCCAGAATGTGCCCAGATTTGCTCCAGGTAATTTTCTGTACGCATCGTCCAGGCCGATTGGCACTGTAGAAAATGTCGGCCTGAGAATAGTTCTGTGAACCGTCCAGGACGATCCAAATTCGTTTGATCGTCCTGGGACGATCTGGCGATCGGCCGGGCCGATCTGAAGATTATAAAGCTGATTTCAAAGCATTTTGAGGAGAGAGAAAATCATTAAAAATGAAAATATCAGCCGAGGAGAGAGAAAGTCACGGGATTTCGGAGAAAAATTGATTTTCGGACGACGCGGAGCCGTTTTCGTCCGAAGAGACTGTTCAGGAATTTGTTGTACGCAAGGTGAATGTCAGACGAATCCTTTCACTATTTGATTCTGGGGCATCACACTATTACTTTAATCCCTTCTTTTTTCTTCGAATCACAAGTGGGGAATCTCAAGCTCGTTCGCATTAAGAGATAGCTTGATAGACGAGCCAAGAAAGTTACTTATGTTAGTAGATGAGCTTAGTGTATGTGCTAGGATGAAGTTGACTCCCTTGTGTCAAATGTGTATGCTTGGTTGATTTAGGTAAGATGCGTGGTATGACTGCATGTGCTAAAAATATGGTTAAAAGTGTGAATCAAGATAATCTCAACCTTAGTTATGTGAGTTGGGAAATTTGCTTCGCCTAATCAACATTTTGCTTTACAAGTAAAGCTATGCCAATTCTATATTCGGTCCTCCGTGTGGGCTCCAAAAAATTCATTTTGTGTGTGTGCCCTAGTATATCCGCGCCATCAGTCTATTTTACTTTTATTTTTAAGTGTGATGACGACGATAAAGAGTTTTAACGAGATTAGGTTACAGGGGAATTTTCAGAAGGCATATTGGGTTTTAGATAAGACACTACTCAGAGATTTCGCCCTCATTTTTTGAGGAATTTTTTATATGAGTTCTGGTTTCCTATAGGCGCAAGCCCCTATAGTTAATTACCCCTCCCGATAATAGGAGAGAACTTTCAATTAAGGCTAGTCGTTAATGATGTCAAATAGGTTATAAACCCATTATATAATAATAATAATAGTTTTAGGATTTAAATTTTGAAGTTTGGAATTTAGAGTTTATCACCATAAACTTAAAACTGGTGGTGGGGGAAGTGAAGATGAGCCCGATCAAGATCCCATAGTTCTGTCATCCCGGGCTGTCATGTTCTCTAGTCTATTTAGTCATATGAGGTAGTCGACCCAACCTGACAGAAGGAACCTTGTCGGCAGCCATGAGTTGCTTCGTCTAAGAATACCTTGCAGACCTGGGTTGATGTTTATCTAAGGGGATATATCTTAATCCACCTTGGTTGACAGAGGGTTCTATGTCTATCAGATATACCCTATGATTCA